AGGGAAAGAAGTCAGGATGCTTTTGATTAAGGTTAATCTTCCCCTTGTGACAAATAAGAATTAGTCCAGCAAAAGATTTGTTTGGAAATTTTAGAAACAAGCTCATCAAATTGAGTTTGCTTCTTCCTGCCTTTAATTAATTGTACCCCAAGATAAACAAAAGGGCTGGTAGCAGATTTAAATCCAGTGAATTCTTTAACCCATTCAATCCAGTGAATTCTTTAACCCAATTTTTACTACAGCATTAAGCTTATTGTTAAAGATGAGTTGGCATTTTTTTTGTTCAGAGAAAGACCAGAAATCTGTTGAAACAGGTTCAACAAACTAAAAACCTTCTTCACTGTTGGTTTTGAAGCATTAGAAAACAATATGAAGTCATCAACATAACATAAATGACTACATAACATAACAACATAACATAAATGACTTATGAAATAATTAGCTTTTCTAGCAAATCTGATATACTCCCTTTTAGAAAAATTCTAGTTAAGAAGCCTTGATAAATAGTCCATAGCCAAAATGATAATGTAGGGAGAAAGAGGGTCCCCTTGTTTGATACCCCTAGTAGCTTGGAATTGCCCTTGAGAATTCCCATTAAGAAGAATGGTGTAAGAATTATTATTAAGCCATCTATGATTAATCTGACATAAAAAATTTTAAAACCCCCTTGCTTTAAGAACCTCCAAAACAAAATTCCAGTTGATAGTATCATAAGCTTTAGAAACATCAAGCTTATACATGAGGTTACCCCCCTGCAAGGCTTGTCATTATCAAGAAAGAGCTCCTGAGTAAGTAGAACATTATCAACAATTTGTCTACCTGTAACAAAAGCAGATTGATTAGGATAAATCATCCAAGATAAATGTGGTTTTAATCTGAAAACCAAAAGTTTGTTAATAAGCTTAGACAGCACAGTTGTAAGAGATATGGGTCTAAAATGATCCAAACTAGATTTCTGATCCCCCTTGGGGATTAAAATTATGGTGGACTGATCAAAATATTATGGCATATCCTCCCCTCTGAAGAAGGCTTGAACAACCTCCACAATGTCAAATTTCACCACCTCCCAAGCTTTTTTGTAAAAGGTAAAGTAAAACCATCAGCACCAGCCACTATATCACCATTAATAGAACATAAAGCTTGCCAAATTTCTTTTTCAGCAAGAACAAAAGTTATGTCCAAGCAGTGAATTTTAGAGAAATTATCATTAAGCAAACTAGGATCAAAGTTTTGAAGACTAGAATTATGAGGTTCAGATAAAAGAGTCCAACTGCCATTATTATTATTAATCTTCAGGATGTATGAAGTAATGAAGTAGATCAACACCCTGAATCCAACTGCCACTATTATTTTTAATCTTCGGGATGTTGTTAGAATGTCTTCTTTGTTTAATACAGGCATGGTATAACCTTGTATTCCTCTCCCCATCAACAAGCTTTTTAATCGTAGCCTTTTGTTTATAAAATTCCTCCTCCCAATGAATAGCTTGAAAAAGATTAGCATTAGCTAAGATTAGCTAAGATGCATTAGCTAAGATTAGGGTTTGTTCATCAGAGAGCCCCATCTGAATGTTTAATTCAGTCTGTTTAACAACAGCTTCAGCCTCTTCAACTTTTACTGTAAGGTTACCAAAATAGCTCCAATTCCAGGCCTTCAGAAATTTGCTTGCAGCAGTTTAACAACCTTTTTCTAAATTTGCCACATTCTAATATAAGGAGGAAAGGATGAAACAGGAAGCCAAACAGACTTAATAATGGGAAGAACATCAGGATGCTCCACCCACACATTAAAGAATCTGAACCTTGGTATGGGAGAAAAAAGATTAGGGGATATAGAGATTAACAAAGGCCTATGATCAGAGCAAGTGTAAGGAAGATGGGAGACAATAGTCATAAAGTTGGTATTCAGCCAAGCATGATTAACTAGGAACCTGTCAATTCTCTCAAAAAGTTTACCTCTCCTCTAAGTATCAAGAAGTCCCTGATGTGGAAGTTCAGCAAGATCAGTATTCCTGCT